AAGGCTCAACCTCCTAGATAAACCCGCAAGGCGTGTAACCAGGCATTTGAATCCTTATATTTTTATGCTTGAGATTTTCTCACTTTTAAACTCTCTTTTATTTACATTTTGCTCTCTTTTTTTCATTTGCATTTTTAATATTTGAATATTTTCTATAAGTGTGGGCAATCCCGATCATGCGGTCTATCACTCACTTGACATTCATGTTTCTCAGGCACGGTACCGAGCACTCGATAAGAGACCCAATCTCAGACGTGTTCATATCAAAGACATTGGAACCCTTGTCCTTTTGTACACTTTTATTGTTTTCTATTTTAATCTTTTGATTCACTCAAGCTTTTGTTCTTTGAAAATTGCATAAGTTACACACAATCTCATCCCAAAGTTATGTAGATGTGGGTTGAAGAAAGAAAGGTCTATCGTTAGACGAGCCTCAGAGTGGTTTATCAAGAAAAGATTGTATATTTGAAAAGTGAAAAGTATAACATGGCTACAAGAGGTGCCTCTAATCATGGGTATACCTTGTGCTTAGTTCCAAATGGATTTTTTTTTTAGCAATGCAATGCAATGCAATGATCATATGTAAGAAAACAAATGCTCATTTAATTTAAGGGAGAAAAGAAAAAACCTACAAAATAAGATTTAAAGAAAATAAGAAGGGTGCTTATGCTAGACTTTTTGGGGAAAAGAAGAATGAAAATTAAATAGAAAAAGAGGTCATGAAATCTTGTCGTTAAAGCCCACCTTTTGTCTTGTGCTTATCATCACCCAGTCTTCTTGCTAACTAGACACAATGGGATCTTGTTTGCCTCTATGAGTGTAGACACCTAAAATTGTCTCCCCAAAACCAAACCCGATGATGAACAGCCTTTCACCGCCATTATTGGTCGGGTTGAGTATTTAATCTTGGAGTGCTTAAATCCATATTTCCATCCCATTTGCCCCAAACCATAACTTATTTTCCTCTTTTCGTGCCTTTAAACCGAAAATAATTCATTTGTTGTCCTTTAAAATCATTCATTTCGTGTCCTTTTTATAAAAATTTTAGTCCTGTTTATTTTGGTCCATTATCTAGATTAATGATTGAATAGTTTGATGGGGCTTTAAAAGATCTTTTTAACGATATATTATAAACCCAAATCCGAGTTATAACAAATAAGTTATTGCCAAAATATTGAATTGACCCCAAACCGAACCTAAGCCCACCTTACCTACGACCCAATGATCATGTGGAGGGTTCAAATTATTTAATCCAATTCCTAAACCAATTAGGATTAATTAGAAACTTCTATAAGTTTCTAAAAGATCTTAATTATCCTTTTTGAAAAGATAAGATTAAAGAGTTTGAAATTGAATAAAACTTTTCTTTTTGAAAATCCTATTTCTATCCGAATTGAAAGACATTCAAAGATAGTCAGAAATGATTTTCGTGCCTCATATTTTTTATCAAAATTTTATATGGTTAGATATCCCTTGAAATTATCTTTCCAATGATATATTATAATATCAATTTTGAGCTATAACGGAAAAGATATGAATAAAATGTCAAACTCTATTCAAAACTGACACTGTCTCACTATTTTGGCCATGTGTTTTATTCTACAAATTATTTTAATCTGATTATAATTGGGTCAAGAAGTAGACTTCTAGAGCTTTCCAACAATATCTTATTTATCTTATTCCAATTTCTGGATCAAAAGATATGTTAAAAACAAAACAACGTAAAAATTGCAGTCTATCGAGTTTTATTCCGATTTAATTCAGATCTTATCTTGTTTTTTCGATCCCTCTTTTTTTTCTCTAAAAATAGAGGTCATATCTTTCCTTTTTCAATCATCAACAAGGTTGATCACGGTCTATCGTAGTGATAACTTCTCTCTCTAGAATTGGGAGCATCTCTCACTAAAAGTGAGCTCTCCCTAGTTTAGCTAGGGTTCTTCATTCCTCCTTCAAGGAGTTGCAATCTGCAGATTTTTTCTGCTGCATAATTTCTTATTTGCTCTAAGTGGATAGGGTTTAGATTGCTTGCTTGTGTCTGTGGGTTTCTTTATCAATCTTTTTCTACTCCCAAGAGGTTTAAATCTTTGGGGTTGGTTTTTCTCCTCGTTTTTTTTAAAAGCACACCCCCTTTCTACAGGCCTTCCCATCTCCCAACACTTCAGAGCGGTTCTTCTTTGGTTTTCACCCACCAAATTCCTCGAGCAGTAATTGCTCATTATCCATTGGTGCAGTCCTTTTAGCTAGAGTTGGCTAGCCGTTTTCAGATCATTAACTACCCTAATGCTTTCTCCCCATGCGTATTATTGGTTATTATTCCAATAAATGGAATTAGTCTATAAATGCAAAGAGATCTTCTGTTCAACAACTCATTCTTCGCTATTCTACTTCTTCTCACTTGTTTTTTTCCTCTTCTACTAACTAAACTCTTTTCTGTCCTTAAGCATGAATATTAATGGGAATAATCCTAATGCTCATAATGATGATCAGAGGCTAGATCTGAGAGGGGGGCCCTCTCATTCCTACGCTAGAAGATTTCAATCTGGAGGACGGACAAATTGACTTTAACTCCTGTGTTATTGGTCTATTTATAGGGCTACGTCCTCCATCTGAACACTATGTGCAACATATTGTTAACTCCCGCTGGATTAGAAGGGGGGAAATAAGAGTTCATTGATCGGGGCCTTTTTTCTTGTTTGAATGCAGGGTAAACCAAGACTAGGAGAGTGTGGTTCGTGCTAACATGGCCATAATCGATTGTCAAATCATTAATTTCAGAAGATATCAAGTGGACTATGTGCCACACAAAATGAGTTTTAATCTCACAAGGGTATGGGTCCGAGTTTACGGGCTACCCTTGGCATATCTTACCTCAAGTTGGGCAAGATAGATTCTCAGACACGTTGGATACATTGAGGAAATTGAGCATGAAGGGGATGGACTCCCAATACATGCTGAGTTGAGGGCGTGCATGTTAATTGATCTTTCCTTTCCTTTAATCCCGGGATGCTTCATCCCTTTCGAAGGAAACAAGGTAATATGGGTATATTTAATATACGAGGGTATCTTCAAGTTTTGCAAATCATGTGGTAAAGCTGGACAATTTACTAGGCGTTGCAACCTCCACACAGTGGTGGCTAGAAGACGAGTGAGACGAAGGTTGGACGAGGTAGAGGCTGACGGAATTAAAATCTATATGGGCCGGCAGAATACCCATTTTACTCAACCATATTAGGGGGTTGCCGGACTGGTATAGATTCCGGAACACCGGAGTTGATTTACGGCTATATGAGGTTCATGAAAATTATTCCTTCTATAAAAGAATGCTGAGAGAAGATATGGAGTTTGATGAGGGTTATCAGTTCGAGGGTCCTTTGTCTTAGCAAGAAAGTGAAGAAAGTGACGGTTTTCACACAGTAGAGGAGGAACTACAAAACGAGGACTCTGATCTTGTGGATATGGAGGAGGATCTGGTGGTTCCGGACCTAAGGTTGTCTCAGGGTAGGCACTTGGGTCTAGGTTGGGACCCCTATGTGGAGCTCATTCAAAGGGGTACGCCAAACCCTAGTGAGCGAAACACTCACCAGATGCGAGAGAATCAACAGCAAGGTTCTGATCATTTTGCTCCAACCATGGGTTCGACAGGCTTGAACCCAGTCAGGCCCACGGTGTTAAGGGGCCCAAAGGCGCGGAACAGCAGCAGGCCTCAACCCCTTGCTCGTGTTTTATTTCCAAACTCTACCTTCGAAGTTGGAGAGGTGTCATTGGCACAACAAGAGGCTAGAGTTGGAGGCGGGCCGGGGACTATCTTCTATACTTTGGGGATTTCGGAATGGGCTTCCACACCCACGACACTTGAGAGAAACAATGCAGGTCTTTTTGGAAATATTGGAGGGCAAGATAGAGCTATGGAAGTTTCGCTTGTTGCTAGCGTAGGAGGATGGTTGGAAAGTTCTACGATTATGGCTACTAGAAGAATGAATGAGGTTCAACAACAAGAAGATGATGAGTATGCTTGCATTATGGAAGCAAGCACAATCTTATCCTTGGGTATTCGACATGCTAGGAGGGATGAGATTCGTGAGATACACCGTTATGTGAGATTGACCGCACCACTTTTTCTTCGGCTCTCTCCGTCAGATTTGGGTGGTCTTCCGATCCTCCCTCTAACCGAGTTTGTTCCGCCTAATACTCCAGTATCACACTTTAGCTCTTTCAATTATACTAAGTTATTTAACTATGATGATAGTGCAAATGACAAGAAGCGCATAAGGGAGGCAGTGGGTCATCTTCCGCATTCTTGTGATGGTGATGCAAGGAAAAATACTGAAACTGATCATGAGTGGGTGGAAAGTAAAAGGCTTAAGAGGTTACATAGGTGGTCCAAAAAGGGTGGTTTCTCAATTTGGCTCAAGGGTGACAAAGGGATAGGATGGTTTGCTTCGAAGGCTATCTTTGATCCCGACATGGCTAGGGATTTTGGGGTGGAGATTGATGGTGATATTAGGATGAGGGGATAAAACAAGCGACCTCAAGTGATCTCTTCTTCTTCATCCGAGTCTTACAAGCGTCAGAAAAGTGAGGAAGTCACCTCGGCTTACAGGGAGCTTAGGGATGATATGGACATTGATCTTCAGTGTACTTTGTTTGATTCGGCACAGTCATTTGCGAAGGGTCTGGAGGCTGCTCCTAGTCAGCCCCCAAAAGGGATATGAGTGTTGTGGCGTGGAATTATAGGGGTCTAAATGATCCACACTCCCTTGCAATTCCCTACCTAGTGTGGCTTTATCGTTCTAAGCTACCTATGTTTTTGTTTGTTTCGGAAACTAAGATGGATTTTGTTAAAGCGGCGGATAGTTTAAGTGTTCTAGGTCCTACTTCCTATTTTCGTTAGAACTCAAATGGAAGTAGTGGTGGTCTCCTAGTTTTAGTTTGGTCTAATGATGTAGTAGAATTTTTGTATTCCTCAAAAAACTTTATCCTTTGTAAGGTTTATGAACGTAATGGAAGTATTAAGTATGTACTTTTTTTTTTATGGCGAGCATAGAGTAGAACATAGAAGAATTGTTTGGGAACAACTTCAATGGTTCCTAGAAGAGTTCAAAAATGTCCAAACAATAGGGGATTTTAACCAAGTGGAAAGTGGGAGTGACAAGTTAGGTGGTTCGGTCCAAATTAGAGGAATTGATTGGAGGTTTAGTAGCAATGTAACGAAGGTTCCTTTTTCGGGGCCTAGGTTAACATGGAGCAACAAAAGGGATGGTAATGAGCTCATCCTTGAAAGGCTTGATCGAGCCTACATCAAAGAGGACTGGTTCAATCACTCCCCCGATGGGAGAATTACTCATGAACCAATAATATGCTCCGACCATGCAGCCATCACCTACTATAATAAAGCTAGATCTTCCTCCTCTAATAGGCCATATCAGATTGAAAATTGGTGTCTTGGCTTCCCGGAAAACAAGGAAATTTTGAAGGATTCTTGGAAAGAAGAAATTCAAAGGTCACATATGTTTCAGCTATTCGAGGAAGCTGGAGAAGTTGAGGACCAGACTCCAATACTGGTGTCTGGAAAATAAAAAGGTTTGGGGCATAAACTGGAGAAATCTCACTAAAGACCTCCAGAGTATGAGTTTGAATATTAATTCGCTTCAGGAAGGGGAAAAATACATCCAACGTATAAACCTTCTCATTCTAGAGAGTCAGCTGAGTTTTAATTTCTGGAAACAGAGAATGAAGGCAAATTGGGTGAGGTTTGGGGACTGCCCCACTCCTACAATGTATAGGAAGGTGAAGCAAAGACAATTGAAAAATGAAATTTTGACTTTAAGGGGTGAAAATGATACTTGGGTCGAGGAGCAAAAGGAGATAAAAGAGGTAATTCTTACCTCAATCAAAGATATCTACAATCCAGTCACGAGTGATAATCATGGGGAAGATATTGACCTACTTCTTCGGCAATTGGACATTCCCTCCCTTTTGGAAGAGAATCGGCTTTGGTTGGATAGGGCTTTTATAGATGGGGAAATTAAAAAAAGCTATGTTTGATATGCATTTCTCTAAGTCTCCAGGCCTAGATGGTTTCACAGTGGATTTCTTCAAGGCTTATTGGGAAGAGGTGGGTAATCTAGTGGTTGAAAGTGTGAAGGAATTTCTGAGGTTAGGAAACATGTTGAAGGAATGGAACCAGTCCCTCCTTTTTCTGATTCCAAAGGTGAAGGTTCCAGAAATCGCCAGCCATTTCAGGCCGATAAGTTTATGCAACATAGTCATTAAATGCATATCAAAATTCCTCGTCAATAGGCTAAAGGTGGTTCTCCCTAGCCTTATTACGGAAAACCAAAGTGCCTTCATACCAGGGAGATACATGGAGGACAACATCCTCTTGAGCCACGAGCTTATGCACCTCATAAATTCGAAGAAAGGCTCGAATTTCACAATAGTTAAGATCGATATGTCAAAGGCATATGAGAGGATGTATTGGCTTTTTCTCCTAAAATTCCTTCAAGCTTATGGGTTTTCTGAGCACTAGGTAAAGATGGTCTCACAGTGTATCTCAACGGTGAGTTTTAAATCAGTTATTAACAGGAAAACGTCTGATCACTTTGCTCCAAAGTGCGGCTTAAGGCAGGGGATCCCCTATCTCCGTACCTCTTTATTTTCTGCTTGGATATCCTCTCTAGAATGTTTTCTCTGGAAGAGGATATAAATCAATTTCAGGGCCTGAAAGTTTCCCGTAGGTTCCCCTCGATCTCTCATCTCTTCTTTGTAGATGATGTTATACTCTTCTTCAAAGCAAACGAGGGAGCCTGTGATTGTATCACAGACATCCTTCAGAGGTTTGGGAAAGCTTCTGGGCAACAACTAAACCTCCAAAAATCTTTTATAAAGTTCTCGCTAGGGGTCGACAACAATAAAAGGTTAGCTGTGAAAGTGAGTCTTGCCATGCCTGAAACTAAAAATATGGGAATCTATTTAGGTGCACTGATTGATATACAAGGAAAGAAGAGATTACACTTACAATTATTAGAGGACAAAGTTTCAGAGAAAATTGTCTCATGGGCCTCTATGAACCTTTCTCAGGCAGCAAAGCTAATTCTGATCAACACCGTCCTTATCAGCATGTCAGCTTATGTCATGAAGTGTATGAAACTTCCTCAGAGCATTGCAAACAAGATTGATTCTTTGATTACTCGTTTTTTGTGGTCTAATAATGGTAACAGAGGTTTAATTGAGTAAGTAGAAGTGTGATACAACTTCTAAAGAGCATGGGTGGTTTAGGGATTAGAGGCTCTTCCACACTAAATGATGCTCTCCTGTTCAAGAAAGCAACAAGAATGCACTATAACCCACAGATTTTACTCTCCAGGGTTCATAAAGGCTTCTAGTTGTGTGGCATATGCAACATGTCCGGACCATTGGTTAGGAAAGGAAACCCTTCTATGGGGAGGTCAAGCCTAAAAAAAGTCACATGGGTATTCAAAGATGGTTTTGCTTGAAAGGTTGGGAATGGAAATAATATCAAGCCTATCAGTATGCCCTGGGTTAAAGGGGAAACTTCTTTAGTAAATTCCAGTCAAACTCTAAGGGCAGCCTTGGACTTGAGAGTGAAGGATTTTATTAATGAGGAAACGAGCTCTTGGGAAGCAGGGAAGATTAGGGAGTGCTTTGAATGTAATAGTGCTAAGTCCATTATATCGATGGAGCTTCCTCACTAAAGTGAGGATGATTTCCTCTACTGGAAATATCACCCCTCGGGAAGGTACACGATTAAAACTGGCTACTACTATCTGTTTAAAGATCTGGGGCTAGAAAATGACTCTTTATTGGCTAGGGACTAGGAATTTGTAAAGCTAATTTGGAGAATGGCTATTCAACCTAAATGGAAGCTTTTCCTATGGAGAATTTTTCACGATAGTATTGTAGTTAAAGCTAATTTAGCTAAAAGAGGAATACAAATCGATGAGATTTGTGATCTTTGTGGGGTGGAATCGGAGGACAGCCAGCACCTGCTTAGATTCCGTTTTCTGGGAAAGGAAGTATGGGAGATTGGCTCCCTTACTATTTTCCATGACTATCCTGAATCCAACTCTTTGAAAGGATGGATTCAGCACTATATCCTTCTCTTTTATAGCGAGGATGGGAAGCGTAGTCACTGTTGTGCATTATTTATTGCAACTTTATGGGGGCTATGGAATGCATGAAATGAAAGATGTTTCAAGTGTACTAGAGGTACAACAGGGCTAGTGGTGGAATTTATAAACCTAGCAATGAAAGACCATGAGCTTTTTTCACAATAGGTGAATTCGACTAATGTAGTGGAAGCCAACAATGAGAATGATCCAATCATCCCTCATGGGTTCAATTATATTCATATAGGGAAAGAGAAGGTAGGTTTTGATGACTTCATAGTGGAAGTGGATGGGTCCTGGGATAAAAAATCTACAAGAGCAGGGATTGGTTGGGCGGTCAAGGCCAATGCCAAGGGCTATGATAGGGAAGAAGGTGGGAGACATGGAGCAACTTCACCAGCCCTTCATTGTGAATCTTGGGCTTGCCTAGAAGCAATGAAATGGGCTCAAGCTAAAGGATATCAAGGGATCCTTATTTTATCTGATTCAATATCTCTTATGGATAACTTACAAGATGATCTAGGCAAGGATGTTCTAATAACCTGGGTACTAAATGAGATAAGGGATGTTGGGTTGATGTTCCGAAGATGCACAATATTATAAGTTCGTAGGGATCAAGTTTAAAGGACGGATAACATTGCGAGGAAATGTCGGCTAACCCTTTCTGATAATATGCAGTCCTTTCTGTTTTCCTTTGCTCTTGTCAAAAAAAAAAACACAATGTTGATCACAAAATAATTATTTTCTCCCTCTTTAGCCTAAACTCTAGGCATCCTATTCTCTCATAATACTTCCCCTAAGCGATCCAAGGAGTCCATATAATACCCAAAGTTCTATACTTAAACCAAGGCGTGAAAGTTATAATTAACTGAGGGTTTGGACCAAATCAACTCAGCATTTATTTAATTTAATGGTTTCAATTTGATTTATATTTTAATTGAAGTTACTAACAATTTATTCATGATGTAGCAATTTAAAGGAACGCGCGGAATGTGAGTAATTAGTTAATTTACTTACTCTTATTTTATTTATTTTATTGCTAGTATCATGATTAGGGTTATTTTATACTTGATTTGACTAACGTAATTTATTGTGAAATTGCTTCCAATATTAATGTTTATTATATTGTTATTATGATCACCATATTGCATGTTAAAGGGAATATATGATTGAAAATAACGCCTAATAAGATAATTTTAACGACTGGTTTAGGTTCCTTTTTAATCTTGTTATTAAATCAAGTGATCACGATATTTTAGAATTATGTGTTGCATTAATATTAAACCAATTTAGTATAATAATAGTTTAGAGCAAATTGAATATTTGTTTGTATGCCTTTGAGATCGCAAGAATCATTTTTCACTATAAGAATCGAGTAGAGGCCAATACGGGCGAATGTGACTCCATGACTCACTTTGTACCATCATCCCTGATCCTCCTTTTGTGGTTCCGAACCATATGGAGTTAGTAATATCATGGATTATGAAATGGGGTATAACCTTCACGGGTCAATCGTTGTTGCCTATCGTTGTCCCTTATCGTGGTTGCCTTTTTTATGATCCGTGAACAGTTTACAAGTTCCTAAATAACTTGTTGGCGGATCCCTACTTTCCTTGTCCCTAATCGTATGTCAATTCCTACTTCCTATGAGTGCCAAGCATATTCACCACATGCTTTAACGTAGGCGCACTTTAAACGACGCCTACTATGAGATCTTGAATGAGATTTTTAAATCTGTAACATTCATCGGTGGTATGACCATTTCCTTGATGGTACTTGCAATAAAAATTGGGATTCCATCTTGAATATCGCTTTTCTGGCGTTGGATCTTCAGTAGGGCCAATAGGTTTGATTAATCCTCGATTATGGAGACGATCGAAAGCAACATCATAGGCCATTACAAAGGGTGTGAAATCTCTTTTGGGTTTCTTTTTTAGATCCTTGATTTTTTTAATTTTTTTTTGGTAAATAGAGATTTTATTACCAAAGAAGAACAAATTAAAATAAACAAAGTCACTGCCCACACAGCAAAGCAACAACACCACTAGACACCAAAAGACCAAACATGCCAACAAACACTAAACAGTTCCCAGAGCACTCCTCGCCACCTTCTAGGAAGAATTCTAGGAGAGACCAGGAACAAACTATTGGACTCAAACACCTGGCCATCTTCTAGGAAGGGTTCCAGGAGCTAGAACCAGACAAACAACCTAAAACCCACCAAACCAGCAACTAAAACAGCCAACTACTAGCCAGAAACAGCACCAGTAGAAGCAAAACCTGCCAGCATAGAGCAGAAAGCCTGCAACTGTAACTATGAACACAGACAGCTAGAAAAACCCAAAAACCAACCTAAGCAGAATAAAGTAAATATCTATAAATACTATCACATCTGCAAGCAACTAAGAAGGTTATCTCCTTAATCAAATCAGCAACCGATTTACAGTTTCTGGTAAACATTAAAGCATTCCTTTGAAGCCAAACATTATAGATAGTTTAAGAAAAACACATCACAATTAGCCTGATCTTGGCATCAGTTTTCCTATAACATTTTGCAACCCAATGCAGTTCATCAATAAAGCTCAGCACAGTCCTAGTGAACCCTAGATTCTGTAGCATTGAAGACCAGATTACCTTTGAATAACTGCAATCGAAGAACAAATGATTCACAGTTTCATTAGCACAAGCACATAAACGCAACAAGGGTCACAGGGAATCTGCCAGACTAATAGTCTGTCCTTAGTGACCAGTTTATCCAAAATAACAAGCCAAGTGATAAAGATACTCTTTGGTGAAGCTTGATTGTTGCAAATAACTCTCTTCCAGGGAACTTTTGACCCCCGAGGCTTAATGATACTATATAGCTTCTTAATCTGCATCTTGCCATTGACAGTAACATTATCCCATCCACCAATA